TCCAAAAAGATACCGATTCATGGAAAAATATAGACTGCATAAAGTTTTTAAGGTACTTTACTTCCTGCTGTCTTTAGCCTCAACTCGCAACCGTTCTCTGTTAAACCGCGAAATCTCATCCCAAATTGTATACCCGGAAGCCCCTGAGCAGCATGATTATAAAATAATTCTTTCACCCTGGTTGATCATTTAAAGTACGTCAGTATTTTGGAGAATGTTGCAATTTTTATCTTACACATGTATGACTTTTACACCATGTCCTTTTTACATGATCAAACCGAGGGCGTACGTCCAATCATGAGCAGTAAATGTTATGCACCGTGTAAGCTAGTATCCCCGAAAATAAGCTCTTGTCATATTCTTAATAGTGAGAATTATTTTGACGGGCGAAATTTTGATTTTCTTTTCAATAAAGAAATGAAGAATAAAGATTTTGCACTCATAGAATTGGCATGGAACATTCAGTCGTTTTTAAAATCCAGATCTTCGGCCTTCAGAAATTATTCGATAGGGCAATTTAATATTGAACCAACATTTTCGTGCTCACTTCGCACGGCACAACAAAATCTTCAGTGCCTTGAAAATATAACGTGGAGAAAACAATCGATGGATATGTCGTTTCATATTTTCTGGGAAACACTCGACTTTAATTTATTTCTTCAGGAATTATTCCAGAGAATCAAAATTAATTCCAGCTGACGCTCAGTCGAATGTGACGCAGAGTAAAACCTCGCGCGTTGACCGTGGTGCAAGTCAATTAACGAACTTTTCCAAATATATTGAGTGAAAAGGGTAATAATTACTCACGTCGGATGCGAAAGCACGGTTGAGAACAGCCAAGTTCGTGGCATGAACAATCTCCGTGGCCGTGTCGTCGTCGCCGATGCTTCTTGTCATGGTCATCTCATTATCCGGGCAGTACTTCCCAAGGGACGACGGAGAGTTGCTGTGGTGCCTCTTTTGCCCTTTTATATTCGCATTCCCTATTCTTGGAATCCCTCTAAAATGTCGACGACGTTTTACGGTAAAACAAATGTTCGTAGTATGACGGAAGGAGTTTTCAAAGTACATTTACCGTATTTACTCGAGTACCGCGCGCACTGGAGTATTTTCTATTCCTAAAATTAGGATAAAATCCCATCCCTACTGATCATGACGTGCACCCCATCTTTAGTGACTAGAGGGGGCTAAGTTAAAATATAAAATGCATTAAAATCAAAATTGTAACTTCCATTGAACCCAAACTGAATTAATTTCCGTTATTTCCAGTGAACATATATATTTCTTGAAAATTTTCTAAAAGGATCAAGTGTTATGAGCACCTAAATTTTGAGCACTTGCTTATTATGATGCGCACCCTCTTTTTTCCGACTTGATCGTAAAAAAACGTGCGCCTGGTACCGCGAATAAATACGGCAATTCGATATTTTATTGTTATTCACTAAGTCTCGAGAACAAGCTTATTTTTTCAAAAACATGAACCAAAAATGTCGTGTGGTGGACAAATGTCAAGTTATGCTTCAGTCGAAGGGAAGTGATGGGTACACTTTCGCTATCACACAAATTTAGAATGCTCGAAGTCAAAGTACAGTACAGTACTTTAATCCAATCTGAAACCTACGTGGAATAGCGTGGTTCGAAGACATTGAATAAAATATTGATGCATTTTTCCTCTCCTGGGAATGATACGTACACAGATCATAAAAATTACATCAGTTGCTAATCACTACTTATATACAAATGTATCTCTGTTGATTAACTCATGTTGGGACATCCAAACCAGTGCACGAAAATGGTTGATTAAAAATCAAATATTAATAAATTTCCGAACGAGTAAAAAATTTTTTTTATTGACACTAACCCCCTTCGAGGAGTTGATTTTGCTCACTGGCCATCTTGTGGGAATTATGCCTCTAATTGTCCGTGTTCCGCTTGTGTATGAATTTTATTTAATAAAGAAATAATCTTAATAAAATGAATAAAATAGTTTACTGTTGCTCAATTTTTACTCCCAAATGCTTCAATTTTTTCAATAAATCATTCTCCCAATTTCCTTGCTCTGCTGATAAGATGCAGTATTATGGACATAGAATCCTATACAGTACGTTGAATGCAACCTCACATTTTTAATTGACCATTCTCAGTACCACCTGGTATTGGTATAGATGCCCTGCATAACACCAGTGGATCCCTTTCCAATAACGCTTTATAGAATCTGTTCTCTACATTGGTGTTCCCCAGCCTTCTTGCTGGACCCATGGACCAGCAAATTTCCATAAAATTTTAGCAGACTCAGAAGAGTTTTGCTTAAAAGACTTCATGGCAGGCATTTAAGAAGTTTCAGCCTTTTTGCAAAAGTCAAGTTACGAGCCAATGAAGCAGCTAGAGTAGAATGTTTTTAAAAAATTTAGAAAGGTGGGCTTGCAGAAAAGTTCTTTAGAACAAAAAAAATAAAATTAATTATTTTAGCAGGTGAAAATTTGTCTCAAGTGTTATGAGGAGAAAAGCCAGCTTTCATTCTTCATCAGATAATTTCAACTGTTATTGTCTACCCAAAATTTCAGATAAAGATGACAGACAATTTGCATTGCTAATTTTGATAAACGTAAATATGCTGAAGAAAAGTTCCCACTATAACTGGCAAAAAATTGACTACCACCAGTTAAGAAACACCGCTCTACGTCATAAAACAGTATTTTTCATTCGTATGCTTATGTAAGACGTGATGCGAGTTCTTCCCGCAGATTCGTGCAAATATCCCATCACACTCACACTATTCGTTTCCCGTCTGCTGGCTCCTCGCTGAACGTCAGCGAGTGCGTCATGATGAAACACAGCTTTGGCGCGTAGACAACGACTAGTATGATCGTGGCTGACGAAGTCATCCCGGCACTGACTATCAGCCGGGTCCAATTCGGATAAAGTGCCAGCAACGCACACCACGTGATCCACACTGCAGCCACGGCCCAGGACGCGACGCACAAATAGAGCCCCTCTCGGAAGTTCCGCTTCTTGGTGGCAGCCGCTGGTCCCACGACCAAGAGACACCCGAGAAGAAAGGCGACGTACGTGGATGCCACGAGGATCTCGCTGGCGGAATGGCCGCACTCGGCCACACGCCCGCGAGACGGGTCCCAGGCGACCACGAGCCCACTGGGCTTGAGAACCCACGTTTCTACTGCCACGCAGCACTGGATCCCGAAAGCGAACCCGCAGAGCATGAGCTGCACCACGCCGCTGATGTGATGTGCCGAGGCCGTGGCGAGCATTGCTTGGCGAGCGAGCATCGTGGAGAATGGCAGTGCGTAGCCGACCCCGGCAGCGAACATCCGGAAACTGGAGAATAAGACGAGGGGAGGGACGACATTTTCATTACTACACGTGAACTCTCTATACCAGTGTTGCCCAACCTTTTTGAGACTGCCGACTGCCATATTTTCATAGATTTTTTTTGTGGACTGGCAAATTCGTTTTCGATTCCCTATAGAATCACGTTGTAGAGAACCCCGTTTAACATTGAGAGAAATCCCTTCGGAACGAAAAAAAAATTTTTGTAGACAAGATCGTTATATAGAGAGAGAGAGTCCACCTGTACTACTCAATCACAGGTGAATGAGCACCAATAATTTAAAAGCGTATGTACCTTTCGGTTGCATCCGGATTTTGAACAGACATTTCGGGGATAAAACGAAAATTAAAAATGACAATTTCTAGGGAAATGTTGAAATAAGGGGAAAATTTGTGGGCTATGTGCCCTAGTTGTTTGCCACTCGCTCACTCATCTCCGACATGACAAACACCATGCCGCACTTCCCTCCACGATGAGCAAGGAAATCATTTACTTTCCCGACATTCATTACTGTACAAGTGTACAATATATGCTCTTATAAACAACCTTCCATTCATTAAAAAGAACGGACTTCCCCNTGCAAGATTTTTTTTTACTGTATAAGCTTTGTATTATTTTACATTGGCGGTGTGAATAAGGTGAGAAAAGGGGGAGCATTTAATTCACGCAAAGGTATTATGTCCAAAAATACGACCGCGAGCGAATGCTTCATTAAGCGGAACTCTGGCATTTTTGGCGCGAAGATGAGCGTTCGTGTGCAGTATAAGGAAGCCTTTAATGAAATTCTTTTTCTTTTTACTGTATTTGAAGTGCATCTGATTTTTTAACTTTTAATAATATTTCAGAATCGAATTGGTTTTTTGCATCTTTGGTCTCGTTCGTTTGTCTACTTGAGCGGAAGTTTATTTCCCACAGTCACAGAAAATATTAGCATTTCTTACAAAACAGAGGTCATTAAGCTGTATCAGCATTCAATTCCCCAAATGTCCATATTGTGTTGAAATATATTGATTGAATCAGTTTAAATTGGGAGACAATTTTTATTTTCATGGAATTATGGTGAGTAATATTTTGTCCATAAAACACCAATTGAAAATTATATAATGTAAGTAAGTCTAAGGGAAAATGAGACTTGACTCAGGGACACTCTTGATGGACCAATTATGTCTGCATCGCGGGGTCTCACTGTATATGATACTCTTTGAGATTTCCTTCTCAGATTCATTCAATAAGAAAAGGAATTGCTCTTCACCTTTTCCCCGAAAAGCGTGAGGTCTCGGGACGAGTAGCGAGCAAAGTCTTCCCATTCCGGCAGTCCTTGTCGTTTTCTCAGGACGGAAAATCGGTAAGTGGCCGGCTGAAGCCGCACAGATTCGTTTCTCGAATTCAAGAAGCTGTCCGGGATGTCGAACATTTTCGGGGCCAGTTGCTGAGCTTCCTTCAGGAATTTCTCGCATTTCGTCGCTCTTTTATCTTCATCGGACTTCTTCGTCGACACTATGATTCCATCGGGTAAAGGGGAACCCAGGACTGCCCCACTCAGCAGCTGGCGATTGTCTCTTGTCATGTCCGGAAGTGGGAAATGACTTCTGCGTAAATCACTTATTTTATTAACTTGAATTATATTTCTCCACGAAATTTTTTTCACGAGGGCTGTACCAGTTGGACGCGACCTCTAATATTTTTTGAGTAGGATGTGCTCGTGGAAAGAAAAAAAATCCTGACATAGCCCATAATGTTCTAAGGTTCTTGAATTTTAGCGGATGATAAAAATTAAATTTACTGTACTGCATGATGATGTGGGAAAACTTCTCAATTACAGCCAGAGCTCTCCAGAACTCATGTCACAGTGTGCTAAAAATTTGCAAAGCTTGTTTCATCCATGATCTCTACATTTTAGATAAATATAGAGCAAAAAATGCAGTTTTCTTAGTTAGCTTGACAATTTTAGCACCCCTTGACATGGGTGAAGAACTCTGGCATTGAATAGAAAATTTCCCCTAATCATCTTGCAATAAATTGTAAACCTCGTTTAAAAATCTGAAAAGAAATTTCAGAATTTTAGAACGTCATGGGGTATGTCATGATTTTGTTTATCCATTTATTTTTACAATTACATCTACTATGAAAATATCCAATGATCACGTCCAAATAAGACAACGCACTCTCCACTCAGATGTGTGAGGACTTTCGCTGTATTCTTGATTCTATCAGTTTTTTTTCTTGCTTTAAATCAAATTCATCACATCAGAGAATAAATGAGGTACCGCGGAAATCCTTGTTTCAGACCAAGAGATAATTCCGACTTTCTAGACTTTCGATGACAAAGAGTCCATTCGAACGCTTTTATGCGCTTACTTCGCTTTTTCGAACATTATCGTTTCCATCGCTGTCTGACTCGGGTTTCATAAAACATTCACACGCAAGTAGAACAAAAGCGGGGGTAAAAAACAAGCGTGAGGCACCGAAAAACTTCAGTAGCCTGAAAACAAACACATATTTGTTCGATGGGAAAGAAAAAAGGACTGACCGGATATCGGACTTTTCTGCTTGCTGCCGAAAAGATCCGGTGCGCTGTTGTTGCCAGCAGTTGTTGACGCCAGCTGATTCGAGCTTCCGCAGCGCTGCCAACGTCGAGCTGACTGTCGTGGCGACGTCATTTCCGCTGACGACGGCGTTTGCCGACGCGTTGCCGACGGACTTGTTGAAACTGGCGGATTGCCGGATGCTGTTCGCATTTTCCGATAGTTTGGGCTCTGTTGTCTGGACTAGCTTGATAATCGGCACGAAGCCTGCTCGGATAACAGCGAGAATCATATAAAACAATATAATTATCCAACAGGGTTCGATTCAATGTGCATTTGATAAGCTACAAGTTGGTCAAGATCAGATGGAATCAATGAGCCGAACTGCATGGGGATAAGATTGGGTCACCACAGCCGGAAAACTCCTGATGGTTAATAAGAAAAAAATAAGCATACGAAAAGTGGTTGTTGATGAGAAAATACCACAAAGCCATTCAAAACTCATGTAATTGTAAGAATCTCTGAAAATTTAAGCAAAATATTCCATGTGACTTTGTGTAAAAACGCAATGCACTTGAAAAATAATTTTTTTGACAAATGCGACTCTATATAATGAATTAAATTTCTCGTGCGCGGGCTAATACCAATTTTAATTCAAGGCATGGTAAAATTCAAATGGGATTTTTAAAATCTGGAAGATGTACATACGCCAAAAAAGATCGCTATCTAAAATAAAGGACGAGCCGTTTATGAAGAACAGTAATTTATTGCTCTTAAGGCTACAGGATGGAGAAAAATTCCTACCTGAGGTCGATTAAAAGTGGGTAGAGATTATAGTCCTTTTTTTTAAATATACGGTACCCACGAACAAAAGTTGCACATGCACCAGATCAAATTTAGAATAACCTTTTAGAAACGTATGTTTTGTAAAATATACCGTATACTTTTCCGAAGAAAAAAACAATTCCTGCGAATGTGGGAAATGTATTGGAAGTTTGACGGATTGTCGATAAAATTGGTTCAGTTAATCCTGAAAGAAATTTTGCCATCTTTTATGCCGGGAGTAATTCGATAGCTTTATTATCGGTTA